CAGTTCAATGGGGGCAATCTGACTTAGCCTACATAGGTAAGAATTAAAACATTTCTGTGCTTCTGTTGAGAGAGGAGGCTAGACAATATAACAAAAGTCTACCAGAAGTGAAAACTGTGCACCATCAGGACACTCTCTACTATTTTGCGCTTCTGCAGCAGGGAAGCCAACCTGCAACTTCTGCTTCCTCTAAGTGTTCATACAAGGCACATTTCCTGCAAAGAGAAAAACAAAGTGGAAACAGTAAACCAGTGGCTGTGTTGTGTTCCAGAAGTAGTGCTTAGTGGGGGGAGCACTGAGAGGAATTATTTTGTGTACCTGGTATTTCATGCAAGGTGGCAGGATTTCCAGTGCTTACGTGCACCAGAAGCAGTGGATGCCAACGAGGATCTGAGCGCCTTTCCCCTCCTCCGTCTCCTGCCTTAGGAACACAGCCTGCTCGAGTTCGCTCACACGTTTCTTCCGCCGTTCTGAAGACGGCATCACCGCTGTGACCCTAGTGAATGCCGGTCCACAGAGGCAGAATTTTCAGACATCCAACACTTAAGTCACCCCCTTTTTAATGCCACTAGTGATGCAGCAACGTGTATTTATATTTACATATAAATACAAAATGGTCAGGTACCACATTTTTAAGCATAATTTACAATCTGAAACTGCTTACACTTTCATGACTAGGCTTGGGTTTTTCTCATTTACATTCATAATTTAATTCCACTGGAATTTCATTTTTAAGAAAGCCCAACATACCTTAATTACCATAAAAAGATCCATATGTATTTTTACTGAAAAATATCTTCTGTAAGAGGAAATTTACCAAAAATAACACGAAATATATTATTATGCATACTTTTTTTTTTTTGTAAAGTACAAACAAGAATCTGATCTCTTCTGGGTATTGCCTGATCTAATATGGCTATAGGTTCTATTTATTTTGTTTGTTTTTCAAAGTAAAGGGAAAGACATAAGAAATGTAAGAACACAAACCAAAATAAAAATGCATTCTTTCCAAAGATACAGGTATCAGTGAAAGAACACTTTGAAAACTAATAAATGACAATAGGTAGGTACAAAGAAACGCTATTCAAGCACTCTGCAGTCTTTTGTCAGAGCAGGTACTGCAATGACCTTGTAACAGTTATTAAAAACAACAAACAAAAAAATGCTACGGGCAGAAAAAGCTGTCACGCAAAACATTGAAAAATTGGTACTATTTCCTAACAAGTAAGTGCAGAACTGATACTAAGTATTTTATGGTTTTTTTCCCCCATGTATGCACACTTCTTTCTTCCTCTTCTTGTTCGCAGGACTGATTGTTGCAACTCTGGCAATATGCTGGATGCCAAACCAGGTTAGAAGGATCATGGCTGCTGCTAAACCAAAGCAGGACTGGACTGTCCCCTACTTCAGAGCGTACATCACTCTTCTTCCCATCGCTGACATCTTCTTCTACCTCAGCTCGGTGGTGAACCCCCTCCTGTACAACATCTCTTCTCAGCAGTTCCGCAGCGTGTTTCTGCAGGTCCTCCGCTGCCACCTGACAATAGAGCATGCCAACAAGGAGAAGTTTCTCAGAGCCAACGTGAGCTCCAGAGCAAGGAGCAGTCGGTCTCTGCGCCCACTGCTCTTCATTTCATCTAGGCGTAATTCTTCTACAAGGGGCAATAACAAAGTTTTCTTAAGTACTTTTCAGAATGAGACCAAGCCTGACTGCAGTCCACAGAAACCGGGTCTTGAACCACCGGAGCCCAGCTTGGAAGTAGTGCCACTAGAGACTAGCTCAGAGCCCAGTCCAGACGCACAAAACGGCCTTTGTGAACATCAAGTATGACTTCATAAGGCAAAGTTAATGATTAGCAATGAACTTAAAAACACGGGAATTAAAATGACTGAGTAATTGACTACATCTTAAAAGGAATAACACAGATGGATTTGTTTCCAATTATGCAAAAAGAGCAGGAGTTCTGTATCCTGCTGCTGGGATTTTTAAGTGCACACTGGAAATTCAATCTGCTAACGGAATTCATTAGCTGCCAAAAATATCAGCCCCTCTCTCCCCACAACCACTGAACTTCCCTCGCTGTTGACAGGGATTTGGAAACAAACAGAAAATAATCGCAGTGTCTTTGAAGAAAGGAGCAAACAGAACAAACTGTGTCAGGGCAAAAAACCTGCTTGAACTTTAGCAATACAAAACCAAAAGAGCCAATTTAAGGACCAGAACAGTGGTTATCAGCCTGGCCCTCAGCACCACGCCAGAATTCCCCCTCTTCTTCGGCCGGGGTCCATTGCAGAGTGGAGTGTTGCAGCAGCTGATACAAACAGAGTTCACCTTCCCTGGAGAACAAAAGGACTGGTACCCAGCAGAGGCTATCAGACACGCTGCTGAAGAAGCGCAGGATTTGCGATACATGATTCCTGTGACACAAAGCAAAGGTTACTTAGTTTGATATGAACACAGTTTTGCTTTACAACATGATTCATGCTTGAAAACTGTTGCAAAACCAGTTTACATCTCCAAAGCAATGCTGGTGATTAAGCCAGACACCTCAGCTGTGACACTGCAGCTCTGCACTGCAGGAGAAGCACAGTCACTCTGGTTTGGATTTTTCTTTTATTTGATTCTGGTTGGAACCAAAAATATTACAAACTTGATTTACATAATGTCTATCAAATGATGCATTTTATAACCAGAATTTGTCATCTTTTGGAATAAGCTGTTTGAATAGCTATAGCTGAAATGCAGTTAGTTTTAAAATGACTTTTGTTTCTGTTGCTGAACAGAATGTCCGAGTTGTTTAAGGTGTCTAAGTAATTACAGTTTTCTACGCTGTTAATTTGTCTTTTGAGCATTTTTTTTCCTTTTCTTGTTCCATTTGCCCCACAGAGACAAGTAACCAAGAGTAAAAGGAGAATGACTATCAGCAAAACTTTCATTTCCCCCCTCCTCTTTTATTTTTTTAAAGAAAAACTAAAAGTACTTTTCCAGGTAATCTCAGTTCTTGCCGTCTTTGAAGCTTAATACCTTCAACAACAAAAATCTCCATGTGCACAGAAATTGCTTTTCTGAGTTGAAAGTCTTCCCTTTTTTAATGTAATTTAATTTAATCTAATTTTAAT